TGTATTATTGACAACTGTAATAAAAAATAGTACACTACATAATTTATAATACAAAAAATTAATAAATAAAATAAAAGATTTGGTTATCAATCTAGAAATTATTAGAATGCGTACCAATTTTCTTTAATTTTTTTAGGTTTCTAAAATAAATTAGTGGAAGAGATTGTTAGTAGTACTTAGTAGAAAGAGAGAGATTTCAAATGGTATGAATTCTATCTTTAAATTAATATTACCAAAATTTATGTTAAAGACCATCACGTTATGAAAATAAAAAATATAATCAGACCATTTATTCCTAGGTTGTATTAATAAATACCTTTTATTTTTTTGACAAGAAATACTTATTGTGTTATCTTTTATTTTTTTTTACAAGAAAAATATGACACTTGTTGATTATCTTCTTCTTTTTTTTTGACAAAAGAAGAAGATGTTGTACTACATTTTTTTTTTCTTGTTATATTACTTTTTATTTTCTTTTACAAGAAAAATAAAAAAATGATGCGGCCAAAGTATATTTTATTTTTTTATACCTTTTGTTTTATTTTTTGCAAGAAATACTTGTTATATTACTTTATATTTTTTTTACAAGAAAAATAAAAATATGTTGTATTATCTTTTTTATCTTTATCTTGAAAAGCCTTTTATTTTTTATTTTTTATATTTTTTTATAACAGCGCGCTAAGGAGTTCAAACTCAAGACCTCCCCTTTAAAATTGGAGATGTCAACCAATACCGCTACGTCACCTAATGTGAATATATTAGCTTCTATAATAATATATATTCAATCGTCTTGCTTTAATGATTTTTTGTGTGAATTATCTCACATCGAAGGATGAGCGTTGCTTTGTTCTCTATATATTCATGTGTAATAGATATTACATTGCACGTGTAGAAAGCAATGGGGCCGACATGTGAGGTGAGTTAGCACGTGTGGAGGTTTTTTGGGTGCCACGTGTTGCTCTCGTAAGGTGGCCACATGTAAGACTCGTGATTCACTATTGGGAATTGCCCGGTTCTCTCTGGACATGGGCGATTCCCGGTTTTTTTGTGGAACCGGCTCGGTTGCAGACGATTTTCGAGTCGAACTGGGTGAGTCCGGCTCGACTCAGCGAGTTTTCAAACCCTAGTTCAGAATATGAGTAAGGAGAGCGTATACGCTCTAGTAGAGTGATACTATACACTTACTCACCTCGGCATAAGACCTACTTGGGAGAAATATTTTCATTCAAAATTCTGGGATCTTTCTAAGTATCATTGTATGATTATTTAAAAAAAATTTAAATTGTGAGTTCTTAACATAGAAAACTTTAGATTATGATTATTTTTAAAAAAAATTAAATTGTGACTTCTTAACATAGAAAAATTTAGATTGTGAGTTCTTAACACTTAGATCTTGCCTTTCCAAAATTAAAAGGTTCTTGTTCAATCTTAGGATGATCATTTTTTTTGAGGCACATAAAGAGTTTTATTTGGATTGTCTTTCTTGGGTAAGCTTTCCATGCTTACTCTACTCTTTAAAACTTATATACTTCCCCCTATCCAACCGTCCTTCCCCCTATCCAACTATCCATTGAATGGATGGCTGAGATGGCTCCGATCACAATATCACGTCTCTACACTATTTTATTGTTAATTACTTTACAAAATATTTTGACACCAAATTTTGGACATTCACTCCTCTCTTAAACTCGTATCTGTAAAAAATAAAAAAGTAATATTCTCAATAAAATAAAATGACTAAAATGCCTTTGAAAGATTGAAAGGGTATTTTGGCCATTATCTTAGACTGAATTTTGTTTTTAAATATTTATTTTAGGTGTGCTACATTGAGATTATGCCATGTACCAAATTTTATA